GGTTAAAAACCCATAATATAAAAAAAAAATACCAAAAATAAAAAAATTAATAAATTTGAAGATAATTCTGCATGTTGTGGCAAATCATGACGTCTAGGAGTTTTTTCAATATTTTATTTGTTTTCAGCACACCAAAATACATGGAAATTAGATGAAAATAATCAAACAGCTTTTAGTCGCAGACCTGTGTAATGTTTTATCATATATATGATAAGTGAAAGAAGCCACTGTTAATTCATATTTATTAAAGAAGTAGAGTTTTATCAACTTTAGTTAAAATTAATGTTACATATTGAGACTAGAACAATAGGCTGCACCATGGTCCTCTATTCCAGTGGGAAAATACTCAAAGCGGATTGACTGAGCCATCTGACAGCTCCCTATAAAAGGACTAACTGTCAGATGGGCCTGTGCTGGATCTATACATAGTTATTTTATAAAGAGCTGTTGTTGTCACTGAAGCCTGAAGCCTGTCTCATCCGTTCAACTATCCAACACTGGTGATAAGGATGGGATTGGAAAACAACTAGGCAGAAAGAGCTGGCAACGTAATCCAGCATAAGCCCAGTCAGAGTGATTATTGTCAGGCACCACACAGCCATTCCGAGTGGCAAAATCAATGTTTCCTCAGCTTATCAAAATGACTACACATGTCCCACCTACTTCCTATGATCCAGCCATGGAACACTAGGATTCCTAAATGATGAGGTTCGAGTGGAAGCCAATGACATTCTTGGTCTATCGGATAACAGGAAGAGGGCTCTCCGCCTGAGCTACTGGGCCTGAAGTCTTCAACACTGCCAAAGCACTGTTCAAACCAACACCGGTCCAGACGTTCACCTGGTCTGCACTACAGAATACTTTAAATGTGCGCCATACGCCGAAACCTTCCAAGTTTGTGTGGTGGCATGAATTCAATTTGTGCAACCAGAAAGAAAGGGAAACTATAAACCAGTATGTTGCCACACTTCGCAAGGCCACAGTGTACTGCAAGTTCAGAGACCTGGACAAGTTGCTGCTTGATCGAATAATCTGCAGAGTATGAGACATGAATCTGCAGTGGAGGTTGCTGGCAAAAATAAATCTCACATTGCAAATTGCACTAGATGAGGTCAGAGCAACTGAATCATCAACAAAGTCAACAGAGACACTGCAGAAGCATGGCAGCAAAAAAGCACACACAGTGTTGTCACGGTTCATCGTGAGAACGCAGAGTGAGACCTCTCATCCAACAGCGAGGACAAAGTTTGCCACCTTCAGTTTGAAAAGAAAAAGACAGCACATGAGCCTGAAGAACATTTCCCACCTTATGCCAGCTGCGGGCCAACTACCAGAGAACAACCTGCCATTTTAGGGATCGGAGGAGACATCTGACCCGAGTCTGCCACTCAACAACTCAAACCAGTACCAAGCCAGTTAGGACAACCGAGGCCACCCAGATGGAAGACCTGGAAGCCCCAGCAGAAGCAAGAAACAACGGAATTATTCCAGACTAAGATTTGGCATGCAGCACCCCAAGAAATAAAAAGCTGCAAGTAACCATCTGAATCGAGGGGTTAATGTGCAGCATGGAAATTGACACCGTGTCATCCCTGACAATAGTATCTTGGACTACCCTGAAGAAGGTTATCCCTAGCCTCCAGAGATGACAGCTGAAGTGCCAACAACTACGGCTCAGCGATTATCAGGGAAATTGCATTTCTGTCCTAGGCTGTGGCACATTCCATGTCCAATTTAAAAACTTTGATGGATTGCTTACACTGGTGGCGGTCAGCAGGTCTCGCCCAATTCTGCTCAGCTTGGATTGATTTGAATTCCTGGGCATGGAGGTAATTGTCATCAATGCCATCAATGATGACAGCGCTGAGAAATTGCTCTGCAAGTTTGAGGATGTCTTCAGTGGAGACCTGGGCAAGTATGTGGGGGTTCCTATATCATTTAGCCTAGACCCCAATATCGTGCCAATCAGATTGAAGCCCTGGAGGGTCCCTTTTGCCCTCCAACCCAAAACTGACCAAGAATTGGACAAATTAATTGGCCAGGGGATCCTAGAACCTGTTGACCATGTCCAGTGGGAGACCCCATTGGGCCCTCCATTAAGTCTTATGAGTCAATCCACATCCAAATGGATTATAAGTGAACAAGGCCCTTTAGCAAAGCATTACCCAGAGCTTATAGTCCAGCACTTACTGCACTTCCTTGGGCTAGGGAAAATAATTTGCCAAGTTAGAACTGGTATAAGCCTACTAGCAATTGTCAGTAGGTGGCATTACAGTAGAGGCCCAAACCATTGTGACAAATAAGGGTGCATGCAAATGCAGTAAGTTGCAATTCGGTGTCAGCGTAGCCCCCAAACTGTTCCAAAGTTTCATGGAATGACTTTTGCAGATAATACCAGGAGTAGTCCCTTTATTTCATGTCCCTTATTTGTTATCTGCTGCAAATAAAGAGCAACTTTTCCAAAGTCTGAGGATTGTTCTCTGAATCAGAGAAAAGGGCCTCCGTTTGAAAAAAGAGAAGTGTCAAATTGCAGTGCCAAGGGTTGAATTCCTAGGGTACCTGGTAGATGGCTCTGGGATTCACCCCACAAATTCCAAAATTAAGGCTATTCAGGATGCCCCCACACCTCTCAACGAGACCTAAATGCAGGCATTCCTCCGCCTTCTTAATTTTTACAGTGTTTTCCTGCAACAGAAGGTGACTGTAGCAGAACCTTTTCGCCAGCTTCTTGGAAAGAAAGCCAAGTTGACCTGGGGCAGATCTGAAACCGCAGTGTTTGCCGCCGTCAAACAGCTGCTGTCAGCAGACAGCCTACTGGTGTAATACAACCAGGCTCTCCCTTTCGTGTTGATCTGTGATGTGTGTCCTTTGGTGTAGGGGCTGTCCTCAGCTATTGCCTGCCCAATGGAAGCAAAGCCCTGATTGCCTACTATTCCAGAACCCTGTTCACCGCTGAACGGAACTACAGCCAGTTGGACAGGGAAGCACTGGCTGCAGTGACAGGAGTTAAGTGGCTTCATGAGTACATGTATGGCCGGGAAGTTGAACTAATCACTGACCACAAACTGCTTCTGGGGCTCTTGGCTGGGGACTGCCCTACTCCTGCATCCCTCTCGCCGCGAATGACTCGTTGGACTGTTTTTCTTGCAGGCTATAACTATAGACTCACTCACTGCTCTGGTAAGACCCTGGGTCATGCTGATGCCTTCAGCAGGTGCCTACTGCCAGAACTTTCAAATAATCCAACCCCCAACATGCTGGTTTTGCTTATTGACTGTCTGGAAGCAGGCCCAGTGACATCAAACAAACTCACTTGTCACTCAGCTAAAAACACAACCACTGCTCAAGTTCTGAACTGTGTTTGGAGGGGGTGGCCCAGGGGGCCAGTTTGGGGCTGAGTTTAAACCGTTTATTGGAAAGCAAAATGAACTATCTGCATTGCTGGGGTGTCTGCTGTGGGGAGACTGGGTGATTGTTCCACCCAAACTGTGAGTTGCAGTATTAGAGGCTTTGCATGTAGGGCATCTGGGTATTGCCTGGATGAAAGCATTAGCAGGGAATTATGTGTATGGCCTAACATGGATGGGGAGATTGCAGAGCAGGTAGCAACCTGCACACCATGCCAGGAATCCTGATCAGCTCCCCCAGAGGCACCTGTACATGAATGGGAAAGGGCCAAGGCACCCTGGTTCAGGTTGCACATTGATTTTGCAGGGCCTATGCACAGGCAAACTTTCCTCATAGTTGTGGATGCCTATTCAAAATAGTTAGAGATAGTCCTCATGACCACTACCATGGCAGAGGTGGTCATCAAGGTGCTAAAGAGACTTTCTCCATACATGGCCTGCCTGATGTCCTAGTTTCAGATGGGTCCCAATTTATAGCCATTCAATTTGAAACCTATTTAGCAGAGCAGGGAATCAGACATGCCCTGGTTGCTCCATTCCATCTGGCCAGCAATGGTCAAGTGGAGATTATAGTGCAATCTGCTAAAGAAGCCATATCTGGAATGGGGCCAGATAATTGGCAAACCCAAATTGATAAATTTCTCCTCATTCAGCACTTCATGCCAAATGCCACTATAGGAAGCCCCTCTGAACTGTTAATGGGTCACCAGCTAAGGTCTCCCTTAGACCAGCTGCACCCAAACTATTCTGCTGAGCCCTCAATTGATTCGACCAATCAACTCTGGTCATTTAGCATCGGGGATGAAGTATATGCCCACAAATATGCTGGGGGTGCTCTCTGGGTTCCTGCTACAATTGTTGAAAATACTGGCCCTCTTTCGTATTGCTTAGAGCTCGAGGATGGTAGAAGATGGAGAAGGCACATTGACCAACTCTGAGGCCAACTCAGCCACTCCACTCTTAGGCAACCAGAGAGGCCCTCATGATGGATTAATCTCTGGTTGCCCCAGGGAAGTTTCCAGGTGCTTCTATTGGTTGAGCCCGGAGAAGCAACAGTTCCGTCTGAACAGACTGCTGCCTCAGCTCCAACTGAGTTGCACAGGTCTGAAAGGGTTCCCAAATGCCCCTCTTATCTGTGTGATTACGCCACTAATTGGGTAAGTGCAACTAAGTGGGGAGGGGTGTTACATAGTGAGACTGGAGCAATAGGCTCCACCAAGGTCCTCCATTCCAGCAGGAAAATACTCAAAGCTGATTGGCTGAGCCATCTGCCAGCTCTCCATAAAAGGGCTACCTATCAGGCCAGCGCTGGATCTGTACATAGTTATTGAATAAAGAGTTGTTATTGTCACTGAAGTCTGAGTCCTGTCTCATCCGTTCACCCTATCCAATTAACAGGTTATGATTTATGACATGCTAAACAGCTTAATTTTAATTAGAGTATTACTGATATCCATCCCCTTAAAATTAAATGATTACTAAATACAGTTATTGGTTTGACTTTTTTTTTTACAAAATATTTCATTTATTTAATATTTATTTAATTAATTGATTTATATAACTCATCTCATAAGCAAGTGACTTGGAAATGGGAAACAAAACTAACATGATAAATATCTAAAACTACGTATTATTAACAAACATTAATTGAAGATAAATGTTCCCCTCCCACATATGTGCTAGTCGTTCCCAATTCTAGGGGGCAGTGCTCACCTCTGTTTCAAAGAGCCAGCGCTGTTCAAAGATGTCTCCATGGTGATGTGGCTGGCATGACTAAATGCCGAAGGCGCACAGAACAGTTACCTTCCCACCAAAAGTGGTTCCTATTTTTCTATTTGCATTTTTAAGTGCTTTTGAACTGCTAGGTTGGCAAAAGCTGGGACAAAAAACAGGAGCTCACTTTGTTACGCAGTGCTAGGGATTTGAACTGCTGAATTGCTGACCTTCTGATTGACAAGCTCAGTGTCTTAGTCACTGAACCACTGCATCCTTAACAAATATTAAGAAGATTAAAAATTGTGCTCTCAGCTAAAAATTTGTGATACACTACATACCAATTATATGTATATATTGTTAATAGGACAAATAAATATAGGATAAATATATATCACCATTTTTTTAATGAACTGACCCAATTATTTTTTACAGAGTATAAAGTACAACTATTAACTGATGAAAGAAACAATGTGTATAAAGAGCTAAAGGAAGTTTTTCAGGACATATTAGCATTGCAGCAAGGTGTTTCGGAGAAATTTCCAGATAGACGTTATGGAGGTAAGTTAACGCGCACGCGCGCGCACACACACACACACACAGACACACAGACACAGATACAGATACAGATACAGATACAGATACAGATACAGATATAGATAGATAAATATACACATACATATATACACACACATGCGCACACACATGGACACACTCAAAGTGCTTGAAAAAGTAGTTTCAATTTTTGTTATTAAAATAAATGATGTAATCAATAATTTATATGATAAAAATGTTATAAAGCTGTATCTTGGCAGATATTTCTCAAATATTTATTTTGAAATATGGTAATACATATTTAACAGTGACATGCGGTGAGGTTTATGACTGGTGAGGCACTGATGTCATCACAATCTTTTTATTAAAATGCCTTTGTACAGGGGGTTTTAATAAAAGGATCTGCGCCATTTTGTCCCATCATTTCGTGTTTCAAAGGGGTGGCGGGCAAGAGCATATTGCTGAGGACCATATGCGGTGACCACCAGTGGCCAACAACAACAACAAAAGAGATTTTTTTGGGGGGAGCAAGGAGCCAAGGAGTTCCTGGTTGTGTTTTCCACAAGGGACAACAGTCCCTCTGAGGAGGAGAGGAGAGAGAGAGAGAGAGAGGGGGCGAGAGAGAGAGAGAGAGAGAGAGAGAGAGA